CTCAGGATTCGGAATCATTCATTGTTTTACTAGGATCCATTTTTTGTCAGATACACTGGAGCACAATAATACTATGGGGAATCGCAGATCGCAAACGTCGTCATAACTGTTGGATCATACTTCCTGGGAATCTTTATTATAGCCGCTTTGCTCTCATGAATGATAAAATTATCACGAATGTATTTCGCGTCGTTGAGTCAACTGAATATCACCATACTGCCACACCATACTACCGATTCACAATGATCATAAGTTTGCGTAGCAATATATATATATATATATATATATATATATATATATTACACCGGAGTGTGAACAAGTATGTTACCAACGCCACAACAATGTTAACAATAACAATAATAGGGGATAGTTGGATCGGAGTACAGAGCGAAATGGAAAGAGGGTGAAACAGTTAATTACGGGAAAATAGAAGATAACTGGGATAACAAATTTTTTTGTGTTTCACCGTACACTTTTTGATATTTTTTGTTTTTTGTTATTTTTACTGGGCACAGGATTTCGACAGGCAGACCGTACAGCATTCGCGCCACTAACTTCTATTCTGGGCCTTATCTCAGCGTCTCTAACTAACGACGGTCCTCATCTCTTGGGCCCCAACCTGGAAGGCGGACTGCACAAACCGAAGCCAAAGCTGAAACCAGCTTCTTCATGCCTCTAGCCCATGTCATGGTCTGACCCCCACTCCGCTTCTTCCAGCCTTGCCCGGCAAGTGCAAGTGCGTCAGAGTACGCACATTAAACGTGGCTAGTTTGAAAGGACGTCGAGGGCGGAGGGCTTCAGCTGGAGGAGGATTCGGTGAGACTTGGATGCTAGACGAGGTAGGACAAGAGTGAACAGCAGCAGAATTTCCGCCCGAGGCACTACTGCTAATACGATCGTCTGAAGCACACGAGAGAGATAGAATAGAGTTGGGAGGGTAGAGGTGAGGTGGGGGGGGGGAGGCTGAGGCTGAGAGAACAAAAGGATGTGTACTGTGTAGAAAGTTTTTCGATTGTTGAAGGTTTAGAGTGCGAAATCATGAGAGCGAGAACGTTCATAGTTGTTTGCGTTGTGGGCTATTGTACAACTCAGTCGCCCAGTCCAGAGTAAGCCTTGTTCAAAGATGCGCTCTAGCCTTTGCGCAACCAAGCGCGGACTGCAAGGCAGCAGTGATGTTCCAGATGTGTCGGTGGCCGGTTTTCGGTTCATTTGCCTCTTCTGAAAAACCTTGTCGGGCCAAAAGAAACTCGACAAGGGGCTATGGCCATATTTAGTGGCGGGCCACACTTGTCACGTCACAGCGCTGTTCACAGATATTTGTGGTGTTTTCTGCGGAGAACCCTTGCCAGAAGTTGAACCCACCACATCCTCGAGCGCTGCCGCTGGTCGTCCGCGACCGCTTATTCGGAGGGCCGAAGCTCACCTTATTCACGGTTAGCCACGAGATGACGGCCGTTCCCCTATCCGCGACCTGGGGACGCGCTCGGTAGCATACAGCTCTACTCTCCCCCTATCAATCGTTGTATCAGTTTCGGTTTCAGTCTTTGTAACCGTCAACCATGTTCTTTCGTGCACGGGTTTTGGTTGCTGCCTCATGGCTTACCATAAAAGATTAGAAGGTACATTGGGATTTTCAAATCAGTGTCAGAGTGAGAATAGAGAATTCATGAAGACTGAAGTTGCAGGTATAATGAATAGATGCACGAGCACTAGTGGTTATGACACAGCTATATCATTCAGTCTCTAACCATTGATTACGCTGATCCCAATGTCTCCAGCCAGAAAGCCTTTCGGGACATATGTTACTCAGTGCCCTGGTTAGGGTGTACATACGCTCAAGCCAGTTCGGAGGTTGACTACCCTTTACTTTTTCACTCAGAACATACCTCGGCAAATGGCACGCCCCGTGGCAATCTGTTTGGTGACATTCGCAGAACATGCCCTAACAGACACAGTTTATGGAGGTTGGCCACTTGAAATTATCTAAAACTGTGTGCCTAACCTCAGCATGCACTCGGCTCATTACAGACAGCCCGATGTCCCTACGTTACCGCCAATTTCTCAAGTTGGAGAGTGCCACTCGAATCTTCTGTATGCCAGCCGAAACTTCATCCATGATGCGTCCACCGGGTGAGATTTAGCTGTTCGAATAGCAAACTTTGTCTACTTCCTCTACTACTTCCCCAGTTAAGGTGAAGTTAGAAACTAGACTGACTCAGTCATGTAGCAATATTTCGCACTTTAAAGGTGCAGAACGCATACCAAACATGGCTATCCTGGTGCTCAAACCGCTCAGAAAAGCTTCCAACATACTTAGATCTTCACTTAGCAATACAATGTTGTCTGCATACTCCTGATCAAACAGTCTCCCGCCTGGGAGCAAATCGATTCCTCTATCCCCGCACGAGGATAAAGCCGTTTTCATAATAAAATCTATAACGAAGTTCAATAGAAAGTGAGAGAGGGCAACCCTGATGAACACCACTTTCTGTTGTGAACCCGGGCGAAAACGTGCCGTGAGCTCAGATTCGGCTCCGGTTAGTAGTATAAATGGATCATAATATTGAAATAAACTTCTCGGGCACACGCTTCGAGCCAGCCATAGTTTAGAACGGCTGATCGAGTGAAAAGCTGCCTCCAGATAGAGAAAGACGGAAATGATAGGTCTACGAAGGGAATGTCTATGCTCTAGAATTTGACGAGGAGTGAAGATTTGGTCGATACAACATCGATCAAATCTGAAACGAGCCTGGTTCTGGTGCACCGTTCACGTGCGGAAGACAATCGACAGAGTGTGGTTCCAGTGAGAAGTTTAGAGGCCATGTTGATTAAACTAATTCCTCTGTGGTTTTCACAAGAGGATGTCATCTTGTAAATCGGTAAGATGACCGATTCACACCATTCAGTTGGAACCTGTTGTAGCTCCTAAATTGAATCCAGGAGTTTCGTCAACTCCAAGACTAATGCCGAACATGCAAACTTGAATGCCGATGGGAACGGGGTTCATCTTAACCGGAGGTCTTATGCCTTTTGAGATAACTTATTTTCCTGTGAAACTCCATTTTAATTAGGGGACTGGCATCAACTGGGGGTAT